TGGTTAAGTTTACTCAGTTTGTGATTTCTCATCAGTTTGAGAACGGAAGTTAGAATAGCACTTAAAAGAGTGTGATAGACCTACTGACTCTGGCCAGAAGGAAATAAAAATCGGGCTTCTGTAATGAGCTAACGGATAATCATATTTGCTCGTGNCCCCCCCCGCCTCCCAGTCTGATTTTCGACATGACGTATGCCAATCAAGGTCTTCCTCAATTATGATACAGAAAGCACTGCCAGACATGAAGTCTGGTGAAACTCCAGTACGGATGGGCTACCCCGTTTCGTTTGCAGTGCTTTCTGAGGACAGTCCAGTAGTCTACGAGTCTTGTGAATGTGAACGAAGGCGTGTGGGTGAGAATCGGTAAGTGGACGAGTGAGTGACTGGAAGCAAGAAACATTCATTGTTGTACAGCTCACCTTTCTAACCCCATTTGATCTTATTCATCTTATTCAACAAGTATGCAGAAACCTGATCTCCAGAATAGAAAATTTCTCATCCAAAAGGAAGGGTCCAAATTCTATTTATCGGTTAACAGTTCGTGAGAAAGAAATAGATCGTGCAATAGCAGGGCCTTTTAAAAATGCATTTGTGTGAAGAAAAGGGACAGGCCTTGGGTTATCTGTATCAGTGTAAAAGGAAATTCTGGTACAGTCCCCGTTGGCTTGTTTTACAATGCTGTTTATTTAAATCCTTTCCATTCGGAACGGATATCTGCTATTGTGTGCTGCACTCACTATTGATCTATCCCTGCGATTGAAGCGAAACTGTAGATTTTTCCAAGTTCCACGAATTTAATGGAAGTTAGAAAGTTATTTACAATTCAGTATCCTCTTGGCACACAAACTACTGAAAAACGTTGACAAAATGAAGCAGCCAATTGACTCATACGAGTAACTGATCCGGGTGGGTTGGGGGTGGGACAAACACCCGGAACTGTAAGACAGTTAAGACAGGTTACGCAAACTGTTTGGTCCGCATGGGCTTCAGTTGCATCAACTGTGCTCTTTGGATGCTGTGACGTGTTCTCATTTTTCGGAGGAACGTTTTCTAAACAATTGCGTTACCTTTTTAATCTACTTGGAAAGCAGACATTGCAAAATCACGGTAAAAGTGATATTGCACCAAACGCTATCAATGTAAATCAAGTGTTTTCTTTTTCGTATAGCGACCCAGATGTCTTGAGTTCAAACCCCATCATAGTTGCCCAACTTTACCTGTTTTGCTACGTCGCATGGCAGCCCTTTGACTGCCTGCTTCCTCCTACCTGAAAGATTTTTGTACTCTCATACGTTTAGTAAAAGAAAGCAGAATATAAAAAAATGTCTTTTTACTTCCTTTTTCTATTTATTGAATATACAAATGTGCAGTCAACTTTCAGGAAGGAAGGCTGCGGCCATACAGTCGATCGAATGCCTCCCACACAGTTAGATCTTCCATGCGAGTTTAAATAAACACCTCGAGGTGACTTCACTGATAGAGTGATAAAACCTTGAACACCTCTCATGTCAGGGATTCGAGATCAATAACCCTGAACGAACCCGTTGGATATGCACAATTAAAGAGCTCTAACGNTCTAACGAAATCAAACCTTCATGGGAGTCGACGGGATGAATCGCATGGATTGTGTGTATGTCTGTGGAGGTGAACATTGGTGGATGGTCGATCGAAATTAAACTAAAATAATGTCTCCCGTGTAGGGGGCTTATGTTCATTTTGTCACCCTAATTGGTTTTCAAATTCGATGGATGAGCAATCACTAACGGTGAAGCATATATTTTTAGCTTATAACACGAAACCAACGGTTGGAATTGACCCAATTAAACCGAGTAGTTACAAGCAGGACTCATAAATCTGCATGTTCCAGTTTAAGTTATCACAAGCTCAAATTAAAACGTACGTAAGGTGCTTCCAGGACCTGTGTTAGGCATATTTCACACGTTGCCGTTTCATCATGATTTACTCCTGCCAGTCGGATAGATCAGTGAAAACACTTCCAATAAATTACTAAAACAAGTTGTTTGTAAACCCCAACTCAACGGTAAACCGCGATAATTCAAACTGGATTTGGATTTGGATTTCGGCAAACGCGTCCAACTAGTAGCTACATTTTTGGCAGAACTGATTATAAAGCCTACGTCATACTTCTAGGACTTAAAACCAATGAAAACGAACTTCTGTCTTTTCGAGCATAAAAGTTCCTAACTGGATTGGTCAAACACGACCATTGAGCTGAGCTGTTTGATTCACTCTGGTACTAAAAATCAAACAGGACTCCAACCGACAAACAGACTCCCTTCATCACAACAGGCAATGATATAAATTGATTGTGCGAGCCAAGGGGACCGTTGTGTAGAGGAAAGATTTAAGTTGTCGAGATTCTGTTTTTCAGTGTAGTTGTTGTGCTGCCCCAGCACAATTTGATTTAGGTCGTTGCATTGGGTGACCCTGATGGCTTTGACTCAGTTCGGAGTTGTACTAGTTACGAATTTTTTTTATCCTCCTTATGATTTTATCTTCCGAGGACTGTTGCAATATATTGGTATGCTTAGTCAGAAATAAAAAAGCGATTGTTCAGCGTCACCTAATGAACGAAATTTCCTGTAAGTCCGTGGAAGAATTCGAACTTTAGAGCATTTTGATTGAAATAATACTCTCCCCCCCCCCGTGATCCAGTCTGCAGTCAAAAGAACAACCATGGACCGCACTGTTAAAAATTGAGTATAGTTTAGCAATTGCAACACGAAGTATTCAGTGGACACTTTGAAAACCTCATTAGTGAAATACATGAAGTTGAAATGCGTGGTTTCTTCGCATCAGTGTCGAATTCAGCGGAGAATACAGGAGACCGAGAGTCACGTTTGTTGAACTCCCCAAAGGCAGCAAGTTAGTGACTAGACAAAGGGTAAACTGCAGCGGATAATTGGCATCTTCATTGGCAATGGTTCCAAGAAGGAAACAGTCGTATTTAAGAAGTTATTCATTGACAAACGATGAAGGATAAACTGGGGTAGCTTGATCGCAGTTTGTTTGAACCAGTTACCAACCCGGGGCCATAACCGCAATGCAACGACCTGTAGGAAGACACTCAAATTTTTCCTTTGGTTATTTATCACAACGAAAATGAGTGAGGCAAAATATGTCCAACAGGAAAACACAACAATACACAATTCAAACATAAAAGACTGTTATTTCTTCGTAGAATCCACATTTTGCTATTGGCGCTTTGGTGCCCATCTCAATCCTTTTGAAAATATCTGCGGGTTGTTTGTGAAGTGAGTTCACCAAACTGCCAAAGCTTACGGTTCTCTTGTTGTATCTGGGATCTCTGAGAACAATGGCATAGGGAATTATGAACATCGTAGATTGCACAACGCTTTCCATTAGCAAGCAGGGAATGTGTAGTGATACTTTACAGCAATAAAGGAACATATTGTACTCAATTGGGATAAAGGGATTCCCATAAGTAGGACATCGTCTTCAGATATTTGTTTCACTATGTAGGACCAAATTCATGAAAAATTTGGTTGATGAATCGTTTTCCCGTTTTCCCAATTAACCTTGGTTCCAGGGATCACTGTGGGAAAAACCTTTGACTGGAGGGGCTAGATGAAGGAATTCTAGTTTCCCCGTAATTTAGATGAGCACTGTATATAGCGTTACCTCATCATGAAGAATTATACCCAGTTCGCACAGCTCGCGCATGCTCACTTAAAACTAAGACTAAGCAAAAGTTGAGAAAACTACGTGATATATCTAAATGCAATCCCACCAGCGTCAGCTTATCGTGCATCATCCTAATCGTCGAATAAGGAAATCTACGTATGACATTTACAACCCGAAAACCCTATAGGAAGTGATACATAGGACACATTTAAATGTGTATTTGACAAGAAAGCTGTATAGCTTTTATTCAGTGACCTTCAAACAAATCTTCGGATTGATTTTCTTTGTTGCGCTCTCTTCTGTGTCCTTTCCCTGGCCTTCTGAATCCATCACTGTATTCACTCACGTACTATAACGTGAGTTTCACCCGGGAAGTTCTTTTTCATAGTCCAATCTAAACGTTGGTACACAATTAGCTAATACAGCACGCTTACCGACCATATTGTAGATCACTAACATGCATTTCAACCGCACCCATGATAGCGTCAAAAATAATTTCTATCTAATAAAAATTGAACTTACAGTCATTAGACTCTTTCGCAAATCGCACTTCACGATTACTAGCGTTTATAGACATTAAAGCCTCCTCGTGGAAACCCAATTGGTTGACTAGTATAAATAACGCACGAGATTACGACGAGACTGCACCTTGACGTGGTATGATGGCTTGTGCACCTCTCTGACCCAACGAGCTACAAAGGACGGCTTTTTTCAAGCCGAAGATCTAATCATACCTGGAAGGTCGAAGGACGAAGTTCAATCTTCTGGTCCTCGAGGTTGGGGGTTCGACTAGAATTTGCGTTTCAGTCGGAAAAGGCGGAGGAGTAATTGATCTAAGTACATGGGTCTCCACTTCGCTTCACTCGCTGCCTTGCGGTTAGGTTCTTTCAGAACTAAAGGCTTTGGTTGAGAACCCTAATCGTTCTCTGCTTAGTGACTGGACACTCTAGCAGTACCCTTCCATCTAACCCCAGTGCATATGCACTGCGAATTTGGCAGCGATCAATGAAGTTCGCTTCTCTGTATTTCACTGTACGATGATGATAATGATGATGACTCTGGTGTTAGGCAGCTTTGCTGTCATCCAGTTCAATGTCATACCTATCCTAGCGGGGCCTTATGTGGTTCGCCACTCCAAATTCCGAGGCTCAGGTTACGGGTCTGCATCACCGAACAGCAGGTCCTCGTGACTATGGGGTTTACCTCGTCTGCCGTTCATCATAGTGTAATCAAAAGGTCGTTAGGAATATATAAAATTCATTAATCTTATTCAACTGAGAGACCAAAGAAAACTGCGAATAGGATCAGATGAAAGTGACCAGTGTCACTGAACCTCAAGACTGAAACACGTGAGCACAAACGAACTAAGAAAACCAGAAGGTACTACAAAAGTGGATAAAGATTGGATCATTCAAACGAGTGCGAAAGGGAAACTCGGAAACTTACCTTAAGGGTCTCGGTCTGTACAGCGATATTGGTACGGGACGCCTTGGAATTTTCCACTGCTTGCATAGATTCCAGCTGTTTTTGCTATCCGCGAAAAAATAGAGAAGAATCCACTAGATACGCTAACTACCAGCAAAGCACACAGAAGTGTTTCGTCCCGAGTGTGTTCCCATGTGAAAAAAATTACACATGAATGCTGATCACTGTCACTGTCACGTGAAACGATCAAACCGCCGAACAACCCCGACCACGGACCGACATTCTCTCTGGTTGTTCGCTGCCCCAGAAAAGCGAAAGCATCTCCTTACCCATGTCAACCTGGGCGTTATACTCGCTCAAAAAGGTATTTAGAGTACATACATCGTTTTAGATGCTAAACAATAGATCAAGTTTCCATTCACGGTGATAGCTGTAGTGTCCAATTGGTAGTCCCTAGATAAAAACATTCGGTAGCGTTGGTAGATTAATCTATATGATGGGACGACGATTGCCTGTGTCTAACTATACCTTTTCAACCCATAGATTTTCAAAACAAGACTAGGCATTGCCAACATCAAAATACGGATTGCCAACAACAAGAAAGAGCCGACTGCTAGAGTCAAAGTTGTTTGTTTCTCATCAAGTCCCATCGGACGAGTCTTCCTGAAACATCACGCATCTTAGACAAATCTCCGGTCGACTTCGATCGACCTCCGGAAGACTTATCCGACGGAACTTACTAAGTTACTTTGGTTTCGGTAACAATTTCTTGTTGACGCTCCGTAGTTAGGTAGTAGCAACCCCTAGTTTTGTTTTAGAGATACGTGAATTGAAAAGATGCAGATCCAGACACGCTGCACTAGATGTGCGGAGTTCAACTGTTCTATGCTTATATCATTACTTGTCTCGCACACCAATTTAATATACATTGTGTGAAAAAACGAAGACCTCCACCAAAATGGGCTGTGATCTTGGTGCCTCAGACCATTTGCAAATTAGTCAAACCCAGTTGAACTTTACGTAAAACAATCGAACGCTGAACACGTAAGACACGGAAAGATTGGACATATGCGTACAATGTAGACCCACGGCTTCTGATTATCTTCTTTTTTGAGTTCGCGTGATGCTCAAAAGCATCAAGATTGCTTGTTGTTGAATTGAATATGGGAATCAGGGAATGCACACTACGAGATTATTAACTGCCTCGGTTGTTTAAAATGGACGGGCAATCAATGGATGCAACAATTCAAAAATACAGAAGATTGTCAAAGGCACATAGGTAGACGGAGAACATGCCAGGGCTCTCAGACCCTCGCTTAAAACTCTCAAGCGAAATCGATTCTGTTCGGCAGCTATAATTTGCAACCTGTCATGCTATTCGCCTTTAATTCTTGCTATCTCCTACATCAAACGGACATATTTAAGGTGATACTAGTGAGTGAAACCGATTACGACAATTTATAGCTTCTTTTGGTTCCTGTTAACTAAGAACACAGTAGTTCAGCGCGGTGACTCTATTAGTCATAAAGGAAAACGTTCTCTTGATTACGCACACACACACACAATTCACCAGCTACGATAAATGAATGTGCCACTTTGGTGGTGAATGATATTTCAAGTTTACTCTACGTGGTACTTTGGGATTTTCACTTTTGATTAAAGTTAGCAAGCTAACAGTTAAACAGGTAGCAAAAAAAGAAAACAATAGTACATAGGTCAAAAATACCCTGGGTCTAGATAAACGCACTACGAGCACGGTTCAATCGTTGCAGCACCCGTAAAAGCAACTTACCAGTTGCGTGCCGGTGAACTCCAGACGCGTCATTTCCATACGCAATTGATCACGTTCTTTAGACAAATTCTCGATCGCATCACGCTGATCCGCTAATTCACCTTCTAGCTCATGAATGCGATCCCGAGCATCACTGAGCTCTGAGTGAAAAATAAGGAAAAAAATAAGTTGTAACGATTAACTTCACAGTGACATGACAACTAAAGTGGTAAAATAGTAATAGTAGTAACAGGAACAGGAACGGGCTTCCCCACAACCCCTCTGGTATTTTAACCGATAATCCAAACAAAAGAAGCGATCAGAATCTAAACTCAGAAGCAGTTTACCTTTGGAAGGGTTATGCGTTAGTAACAGATGGTGACTATCATCTGTTGAGACAACGGGCGCTATAGTGGACGACGGAAATCCAGAGTCTTTGGGGGTCAATTCATTTTCCTCGAACGACACGCCTTCATTCACCGACAATTCATCCTCGCTGCTTACGTCCGAATCGTCGAATCGGCGCCGTTTACCCATACCGGATCGTTTACTCGCCAATTCCGCATAGTACTGCAAACGTTTATTGGATTTTTCCATCATCAATTTCTCCTGAGCGTTCCAAGAATCCCTGAGTAATGGAAATTGAAGATTGAATGGAAAATCACGATGTCGCATGGATGAAAAATGAATCGCAAAAGAAAGATTCGCAAAATAAAGCACATAGAGTGTGCGCTCCAGACATTGCAACACGATATAAACAGGGAGGCGAACTCCGCTGATCGTGAACAAATTTTAGACCATGACCATACGCCCTTGTGATGCAACACGAAAGACGGTCTGATCAGCTTATGCATAAGTCGTGCTAATAATAAGTACAGTGAACAGATAAATCACAAATCATGCACGGGCAAAAAGTTAGCGGACCGATAAATGTGAGTAGTATTACGAAGAAAATTCCAGCAAAATTGGAAGACAATAACGCAAATATCGCACTTGATTGAGTTGACCAAGGGTCTGCATCCTTCACACACTAGTCACCGGTATGCATTTTTTTGCAATACCGAAGTGGTTATCTACTAGGAGACTAATGCGTGATGTATATCGTCCGACTGTTGACGCATACAGTAAACCATTTGACTAAGGTTTTCGAAAAATTATTCGTTATTCGTTTCACATACCTTATACTCTTCCTTGGTCGGACTAAATGTGAAACAAAGAGAGTAAACAAATAGAGGTTTTATATTTTTTTACGACAGTTCATATCGATGGTGCAGTAGCAGAACTGTTGTTCAGAAACACACACGCACACAAGACTAGATCAGAATCAGAGAACGTAAACGGTCAAACAAACTCACTCATAGAGCTGTTCAAACTCGACCAGTTGACGGTTGAGAGCCTCGCACATTTCTTGACGCAGACGTGCTTCTTGTTCCACCAATTCACCCTTGGCCTCAAACAACTGCTCGGAGAGCTCTCGCACCATAAACATGAGTTCCTGGAAACAAATAATAGAGTACAGCTCAAGCAAAGGAATTTTCGCTATAATCACATGGAACCGGAAAATAGATCATATATCAAAATACCATGGCTTGACAAACCAACTTACACCGTTTGTAGGAGTAGTAGTAACGTAAACCATTCGGTTTATATGAGTATACAACTGAACAGATCTAAGGTGTACTTTTAAATGATTTCAGAGCCTGGAAAATGATAGTAAAGTGATTGTGAACAAACGAACAGCGTGTTTTAATGTCTTGTAGCTCAGTCCCAAGCAGCAACTATACAATTAAGAAGAGGAAGTAAGTGTTAATCTTACTCGTTTGCAAAGTCTACAATGCCGCTCAAATATTCTGAACTGTTCTGCTACGGTTGGGGAAATTTTTAGGCTTAAGTAAAACG